ATCATAAAACCAGCTTTACTTTATGGGATTAATCAAGGCCTGGAAGGCCCTCAGGTGCTCTTAAGAGGGAAAGTCAACAGGAAAGGAACAATAAGGGCAAGAGACAGAAGATGCAGAAGAAGAGAAAGAGAAGGTGACTTTGCTGGGCTCATTAGAGACTTTTGAACCATCAGAGAGTGGTAAGAGGTGCACACCACAGAGGCTGATAGAAATACTGCAGCCACCCACTCTGACCACCAGCTCTTTTCTAAAATGAGGCTGCACGTTGTGTTTGTACTTGGAAGTAATTGTATAAGAACAGAAAGGCAGCACTGCAAGCAGAGTGTAAAAGTCCATGGGGGCCTTCAGAATATCCTCACCCTCCTGGCACCATCTCCTGCCCTGGGCTCTCCGGAGGATGTGGGCCTGGAGCTCACAGAATCAGGCTGACCTGGGAAGAGGATGGAGTTGCTGAGGGCAGCCCCATCTCGTCACCCAGAGCTATGCATGGAGCATGGATTTCATGGAAAATGGCACCCTCTGGAGGAAGGGCACCCACCCCAGCTTCTTTCACTGTTTGTAAGTTTAGCAAGAAGGGGACAGTGGAATTACGGAGAGGATGGGATCAGGAAAGGAGATGGGAAAGATGAAAGGGCATAGGACCAAGGCCAAACAGGGGACAAGGAAGGGAAGGGAGGGGAAGCTGCCATGTGGCATCAGCCCAAGGTGGCAGTGGTGTTATTACTGAATGGCCTCAGTATTTCCAGGTTCTTCCATATCAGTTCTGCACCCACCACCATCCATGCCCCACCCCAGAGCCCTGCTATAGAGTCTCCTCTCTCAACACTGTGAACATTGTGCCCTTGGCCGCAGGAACTGCACCTTATTTCTGATTGGGAAAGTCTTTCTCTTCCTTGTTGCCCATCAGGACTGGAGAGAGGAAGGAACAAGAGGTCCCTCCAACAAAGTGTGTCAGCTCGGGGAAACATGAAACTGGTGTTCCCAGGGGAGGGACAAATATGCTTCCCCATAGTAATATCATTTCTATTCCAGTTAGTCAAAGAGAAAGGAAAAATAAGAAAAGATGAAGTGGAGAAGGAGGAGAAGGAGGAGGAAGAGAAAAAGGAGGAGAGAAATTCTGCATCCTATCTGTCTTTTGGAAATGCCTGTCATACCCAGCATGCTTTCTGAACCCCATGACTCTTCTTGGTGAGCTCCAGGCAGGCCCTCAAATGCCCAGGTGTGGGGTGCCATGTCCAGGACTCAAGGAGCCAAGTGTGGCCCTGAAATTCTCTTGAGGGCCTCTGGGGACCTCCACTTGGGCAGGTCCCAAGGGTCTGGGAAGAATTTCAGGTTGGCCTTGCTCAAGAGGTGTGTATTTATTATTGCTACTCTTAGGGTCAGCCAGATTGTGCTGTGGGGTTTCCCTGATGAGGTGAGGAGCTGGATGATGTTGGGGCTCCCTGGGCTCCAGTGTACCTTCCTGCGCCACAGATGACAGCAGTGGGGGTGGCAGACGCTCACCTCTTATCCTGATGCCTGCTTGGAAGGTCACAACCATTCATGGAGTGGGGCCACTCTGAATATGGACTTGTCACTTTATCCAGTGACTCCTGCAGGCTGAGAACTTGAATTTAGCCAAGTGGAATTGTGTCAATGGCATATGAAAAAATATTTGTATGTTGAACACCGAAACCCATTGTTTAGCATCATCTGTGCTACACTGTTAGCTAGTAATGGCATAGATCATGACGGCAAATTATGGCCCATGAGCTCACTCCGACCTGTAGCCTAACCAGGTTTTGTTTGTTTGTTTTGTTTGAGAGAAGAAGAGTTTTTACATTTTAGAGGGTTGTTCCCCCTCCCCCCAAAAAGGCTAAACAAATAAGAATGTGTGATACAGACTGTATGACCCCACAATGCCTAAAATATTTACTATCTAGTCACATACAGAAAAGGTTTGCAAACTCCTAAGGTACATTAAATAGATTTTTATTTTTTTGGTTCATCTGGGAACATCCTCCCCCTCCCCCATTTATAACAATGCCTCTTGGAAAAATGCTTTCTTGACTTTGAAATAGATGAACCCGGACTCCATCCAGCTTGTAAGCTGGGGACTCTCTGTGCCTCTTTTTCATGCCAAGTGCAGGGCGGGGTGCAAGAGAGGTTGTTTGCTGCTGCTGATGACCAGTGGGTGTGCAATGACCCACAGGCTGACCGGGAAAATAATTATTCCCCAAACTCCCTTTGGGACCTCTGCATTCCTGAGGACATTAAGGTGACAATCCCTGCCTTACATGTCACCCTGTGGAGCAAACCAAGAGCCTCCTGCCCTGCATATTTCCTTGGCTCCGCTGCTGCCATCTGGGGAGAAAGAACAGAATCACCTGTGCTTGTCTGTCAGTCAATGACAGAAGCATAGACAAATATGCCCTTGGCCCCTAGAACAGTGGCAAGCCGCCCAGCCATGGCAGAGATAAGGCGGGAGAGAAAGTGCCAATAGAGCTGGGATTACAGGTCAGGGACAAATGAGTGAGATATGAAAGTCAGAGTGTCGAGAAACACAGTGGACCTGGGAAACATTGAGCTGTCATGGAAAAAGGAGTCGGAGGCCGGATTTGGGGATATTCAAATAAACCCTTAAATCTCCCACCTCCTCTTTTCTTTATATGCTAAAGTGTAGGTAATAATCTATTTCTTCTCCTTCTACTGCACAGGGATGACTTAAGATAGGCACAATTACTTTGACAAATATAAAGTGCTATATAAACGGACAGAAATAGTAAACTCAAGTTGGATTTTCTGTCTTAGCTTTCTCTCTACTGCATTTGAATGCACCTGTGGGATCCAGGCTTTTGAAGAAGCCAGTGCCTTCATGTTTTTTCTCCAAATACAGTGTACATTTGCTCTTACATTTTCTGCCTAATTAAGTCCGTAGTTTTTATAGTTTAGTAATAGTCATTTCCAGCTTATAACGTGGCTCCACTGAATATGATATGGAGAAAAAGTAAAGTAATAACTCCTGAGCCACACAAAAAGGAAAGGCAATTATTTTGTCTTTTGAAATGAATAAGCCATAATCTTTAGGGCAGTTCCTTGCTTATCAGTTGCAGCAAGGCATGACTCAAACATCCTGCTTTGAGCGATGTCTATGGTAAATCTTCCTGCTTCTAAACCCCTCCACCCCCAAACCCCACAACCTTCCTTTTAGGTGGGAGAACCAGTAATGCATGTTTCAGCAGCAAAGCAGAAATGACAATTTCCTGCATAGAGTAGATAAGGCCCATTCTCAACCCCTCCTCCACGACATTTGAGTCTGGGGAGCACGAATGAGCTAATGCTGATCGGAGCAGGGCTGGTGTCCTCCGCTGAAATCCTAACTTGCTTTTGTCAGCCCAGCCCCACAGCGGTCATCTCCACTCACTCCGCTCCCAGGGGTTCTGGAGGGCCAGGAGGCCACAGCTGCCATTGCTTTCTGAAGATGGTGGGCACCACAGCAGCCTGGCTCACCCCAGCTCCCCAGCACAGTCTGCAGACACGGAGCGGTGCAAACAGTGTTCCAACTGGGCTCCACTGGAGCTGTGCGCAGGTGGTTTCATGGTTAAAAGTCCTAGTAGTGTAAAAAAAATCAGAGTAACTGGTAAGCATACCTCTGATGTCTCCATATTTGCCACCTCTGCTTTCTTTTCACTTGGTTTTTCCTTGGAGAGTTTACCTTGGAGAGTTTACCTCCCATCTGCTTGGGTGCCCTTTGCTGATGAGCAGAGCTCTTTCTTTAATTAAGTCAACAAGTATTCATACACACAGGCAGCATCGTTTTTGGCTAAAGGACCTGAGCAGACCAGCCCCAGAAGCAATTGAGAAAGTCTGTCAAGCTCTGATTAAGTAGCCGTGATCAAAGAGTGAACAATTACCTGCCCAAGCAAATAGTTCCTAAAATGTTCTCACTCCCAGGTCTTAACCATGAAACCTACTGGGCCAGAAGGTCAGGCTATCCAGTGTTCACTTGTGAAAAGAAATTAGGAACAAGTGATGTCACATAATACATAGCCATAACTTCCAACTGACTCCTAATTTTCAGACTGCCTAGGTCTCCAGCTACCTGGAGATCAACATTCTGAACCCTTTCCCCACGGTGGCATTATAAAATTCACATGCTTGATATGCTCTCTGCAATTCTTGGTGAAGTATCTATTCCCCTCTGTCCAACTAAAAAAATCCATTCCCCTCTGTCCAACTAAAAAAATAGTTGGAATACAGGTGAGTGAGAGTGACTTATGTTGTATTTGTTTTCATTTATTTTTAAAACGGATGTACTTCCCGAAAGTATCTCTATGAACTGTGGTTGGTCATCAATAACTTCAATACAGCACCTGATATGTGTCCTGTCTGCAACTGCATTTTACTGTTCTTGGCCAATGCGGCCCCTTCTGCATTCTCTTCTATGCTTATCTTCCCCCAACGTGCCGTTAGTATGTCCCCCTTGCAAGGCCTTAATCACATTCCAGGCCATTAACTCCTAAAAATGTGGTGCAGTCTGATAGTTAGAAATGCAGACACCAAACCCTTCCACAGATGCCCTGCTCTTAGGTTTGACTGGGCTGGAGATTTATTTGGCAGCATGTTTGCCATGGTTAATTTGGAGGCAAATCCCAAGGAAACAGAACATTAAAAAGTTTGGATATGGCTTGGCATTCTCAGCACACCCAATCCAAATGGGAAAACTTTTACCCCCATTCTCTTGAGGAAGGAGGGATATGGAAAATGTGCAGGTTGAGAATAGGGAGACCTAGGTTTAAATCATGGTTCCCCCTTGGCCTTGGGCAAGTCCTTAACCTCTCACAATGATGGGATTTTTATCTGTAAAATAGGGGTAGCAGAGTTTCCAGGGAGTTTAGAGGCAATGGGGGCAAAATTTCCTGCAGATGCCTGGCACACAGTATGACCTAACAGAAAAATCTTAAGAGAATATTTATTTACCCAAACACTACTGTCTACCATGGAATATTTATTTTTGAATGTTTTGGAGAGTGTTAGACATGCTATGTGACTACAAGCAGAAGTCCTCTTGGATAAGACATGAGAGAGGCAAATGAAAGAAAACTGACGAGCAAAATGCTTTTCTGAAATCCTTGACATAGTCTGGGGAAATTTTTGAATAACGAGATTCGGGGTCTCTCTTAATGCATGCAGTTTGAGTTGCAGAATAAACTCAAAATTTCCCTATCCCATAATGTCAGAATAAACTCAAATTTTCCCTATCCCATAATGTCATGTTGATTTTTGTGATATTTAGACAATCCCAAAGCAAGTACTTTTTATAACACATTAGAGAAGACATCGTTACTCTGGGTAAATTCCTCAAACTCCAAATAGAAGCAGTAAACATGTGAGTATAAATATGACAATCATTTGCTAAACTGCAACAATTTTAGATATTTTTTGGCATGCCTAAAGGTACAGAGATTTAGAGGGAATGAGCGAAAAGTAATTCAACTCATATATTGTTTACCCCACTTTGACTAAGTTTTGGTTGACGTTATCAATTTCTTGTAAAATTGGTGTATCATGCTATGGGAAAGGAAAAAAAAGTTAAAAGTTTACCTCCCTGGAGAGAGGGAGCTGGAGAAGAGTGTAGCAGACAATTATTTACGGATAGTTTTACATGGATACAATTGTCATGGTTTTAATCTGATGACCGAAAGATTCTCTAGTTGTTTATTTAGATTAGATGTGGCATTAGTGCCAGATTTCCTGTGTTTCTAAGCTTTCCCATATCTAAAATTTAAATGTGTCTGTAAAGGTGTTTAAAGGATCATCTCTAACATGGAACCATAATTTGCTGAAGAAAAATGATAATCATTCTTCCCGTGGGGATGCTCTTTCTGTAAGGAGGAGTGGGGCAAGTGATTTTCTTATTTAGATTCTGGACTAAACTCTTGTCAGCAATGAAACTGATCTTTCCTATCAAGGCCAAAGAGAAGCGAGGGTTTGCATATTCAAGTTCTTCCTAGATGCCTGCCTCTATAATAGGACATCCACATCTGGCAGAGCTCTTATGGGACACACAGAGAGAACAGAAGAGTCTAAAAATCCAGCCAACATCTCAGTGCCAGAATCCAAGTTCTGAACACAAGGCTGAATATGTATCTGGCCAGTAAGAAGACACTCTTCAGAAAAAGGCTGAAAAAACAGTCACACTCCAGGTCTCAACACAACCTATAACAAAACTCAAATAAACATACAAACATACCCTCCATTGCAACGTGGAAAGAGATTTGTTTTTTAGACAAGGATTTAAGGAAATTATCATTTTGCTGCAAGGGAAGAAGAAAAGGATGTTGAGGCCACTACTCTTGCTGTGAAGGTTAGAGCTGCTTTGAATTTCTTGGAGGAATTACCTTAACAGAGGAAAGAGGCTAGGCAAATGGTCTTTAGTTTTAGACCACTGATGGTTGTCAAGAATTATTCCAAAAACATAAATCCTATTTTAAATCCTTATTGTGGAATGGCAGCCATATATAATTTTTGCATATAGTTACCATCTTCCTCATTAGTAATCTATAGCTTGAGCAGCCCTAATCCAAAAATCTGAAATCCAAAATGCTCTAAGATCCGAGATTGTTTGAGCACCGACATGATGCCACAGGTGGGAAATTCCACACCTGACCTCATGTCTATGGGTTGTAGTCCAAAACAGTCAATTAAAAATATTGTATAAAATTACCCTCAGGCTATGCATATGCAGTGTATATGAAACATAAATGAATTTTGTGTTTAGACTTGGGTCCCATCCCAGAGATAATGATTATGTATATGCAAGTATTTCAAAATTTGAAAAAATCTGTAATCTGAAACACTTCTGGTTCCAAGCATTTCAGGAAAGAGATACGCAGGTTCTATACTGAGTTATTATGGTTTACCAAAATTTGGTACACATAAAGCAAAATATAGCATGTTCCCCAAGTTCTTGCAGAAAAGTAGGAATAGATGAAGTTGAGTTGACTACTGGATCTTTTTCCAGAATAAATGGGCTTCTATCAAAAAATGTTTGCAAACTCCTGCTTTAGACAGTTCTTTGGTGATCCATCAGTATCTCTCTGAAGCTAAGCATTAGTATATTTCAAAGTTCGGGAAGAATGTACTTGGATCATAAGGCTCATTCCAACATGCCACAGGTGAAGCTCATTCATTATGCAATAGTGAAGCAGATGAGAAGTAATGGGAGACAATCTTTTGCCTTTCAAAATATTATAAGCTCTGGATTTTCATAACAGAGTTCTGGAACAGGTAAGTGATTTGTCAAGAAAGCCTTTTGTAAGCCATGTTGAAATGGCTGTGCAGTAAGTGAACAGCCTCTGTCTTTGCAAGAAATTAACAGCCACCCCAAGCTCTTGATGTTTAAAGATATTAGAGAGAAAGCCTATCATCATCTGATCTTGGAACTGTTTAATGGATTTTCTCTCTAGTAGTTAAATTGAAAGAATGATGCTCAGGTCTACTGTCTTCTCTTGGGAAAAGCCATACTGCCCTGGTTGGTTCTTTCAACTCTCTCCTGACCCCAGGATAGAGAATGCTACATTCTGAGACATCATGAGTGCCCCTCACTCTCATCTTTGGGAAATGAGGAGCAGCATCCATTCAAAGTGCAGTCAAAGGTAAACTTCACTGTCAAGTTTCCCTCAAGCTGAGAAATTGGATGTGTCAGAAAGGGTGGAGTTTCAGAATTTGCTCTAAAAATAATGTGTCTGGATCTCGGCCACCATCTTAATGCTCTTCCTCTCTAGGCCCTCTCCCCATAAATGTCAAATGTGGCTGTCAGTAGGTTTAGCCTGAAAATAAAATCCCCTCACTTCCATCAAGAAATAACTCCAAACTTAGAGTGTGTGCTCAAAATATTCATGATGAAATCATAATCCTGTATTTATAGTCTTTTGGATTGTGCATGAAATTCTGTTTCCCATGGTGGTTTTCGTTGAAGCGGGCACAGAGTGACATTAGCTGAGAAAGCATTAGCTGCAGGGAAATGCTGTTCTGTATCGTTCTGAACTGGTTGGTTGTGAGAAACCCTCCCTCTTCCCTGTGCCCTATCCACTGCCTAATGAGTTGGGTCTACCCCCCACCCCATTCCCAGAAGGTCCCCTCTTTGATTGGTCCTGTCTTGCCCTCCAAGAAGAGCTGGCCTTCTGAGAAGGAAGTGGGGTGTGTACCTAAGATTATTCCCCTTTCCTCTGCATCTTTCCTGTCCTAGACTTCCTCCCCGTTTTCACTGAGGGAGATGGTGTGGACCTTAATGGTTGGAACTTGATGGTTCTTGTCAAGGCTGGGGGCTGAGGGCCCTACACAGCAGCAGACCTGCAAAAAGCTTTTACTTCTCACCCGGGCTGTGGTGCAGGAGGATTGGTCTTTGGACACTGTAATCCTGGCAGATCCACGGGGCATGGAAGAGAAAAATTTCCATTCACAAACGCCATCCGTCTTGGAGATCCTGTAGAAGGTCTCTCCTGATCCCACGGGGATGCGCACCGTGTCCTTGTGCTGCCCTTCCAGGGCCTGACTGGGCGGGTGCAGGGTGTAGCCCAGGGCATGTTTGGAAGACTGCCTTCTGCGGAGACACTGGATTCTCAAGACATTCTGAAAGGCCTTTTTGAACTCTTGGCTGGAACATGGGTATATGATGGGGTTGATGCAGCTGTTTAGATATCCGAGCCAAAATACTATTTTAAAAACTGTTTCAGAGGGCTTGATATCAGGGAAGAAAGACCCTGGAAGAAAACACACAGATTCATATATATTATTTGCAAGCCAGCAGGCCAATTGGCTAGGAAAACTATCAAACAAACATCTTTCTGTGTTTTTAAAAAGGTTAAAATGATCCCAGACACATTTGAGTTTCTCATATTTGACTGACTAGCTCCTGTGACTGTCACCCTTTTGCAGTATCTTCAAAGACCATTCCTACTTGGTTCATGTGTGTCATTAATTACAGGAGCAGGCCCAGTGGATAGGGTTGCATTGGCTCACAGTGACCAATGCCTGCTGTGAAGTTTTACCAAATGAAAATGTGAAACTCAGACTGATCCCACATATGTACACTGTTTTGTCTAAATTGAAAAGTAAGTTGGAATCCATGCAAATAATCCGTATTAAAATTCGGTTACCTGAACATGCCCTTTATTCTCTGATGCAGTGTTAGGTAACAGACACAGCCTCGGTGTTTATGAATTCTTCCCCTCTCGAATATTAGAATTACGGATTTTGATGAGAATCTCAACTTTACACAATATTGGCCTTGCCAATGTTGGGCCAGTGATTCTCAATCACTTTTCCTAGATGATGTCTTTTGACGTCACCGTGAGTTCCCTTTGTCAATATCCCTCGATGACTCCCAAATGTGTGTCATTTGCTTCACATTCAGAGTCCTCCACAGCCCCTGGTCTGACCAGCTTTCTAATATGATTGGTTGTTATTTTTTCTCTAGCCAGACTCACCATACTTTTTCTCCAGGTCATTGGTCCATTTTTTTGTCCTCTCAATTTGGGCCACTGTGTCCTTGATGCCCTTTTCCACCTTCTCTACCTACCCAAACCCTACCCGTTGATGTGCATAGCAGGAATCCCGCCTCAGGACCTGTCATGTCCTGCACAGAGAGTGCCACGGGGCATTTGGCAGCAGAAGAACAAAACTGTGAAGTCTTAAAGGGGAACAATCTTAAGGATTATCTCCTCCCATTACTCAATTTACAAATGTGAAAAAATGCTTATTTAGCCTTTTCCCAGCTGCCGCCAAGATGCTCCGCCCTTCTGAGCTGAGGCCGCCTTGGGGTGAGGCCCTCACTGCATCCAGCACTAGCACTGTTCTGGGCAGCCCAGCCTTGCACTTGTCCATAGCACGGACTCCATCTCAGAGCTCGCCTGCACCGACTCAGCCCTCGTTCTGCATAATGCTGAGGGGATCATCACAGAGGATAAGGTCAATGTCCTTTCTAAAGCAGCTGGGGTAAATGATGACAACTTTTGGCCTGGCTTGTCTGCCAAGGCCCTGGCCATTGTCAACATCGGGAGCCTCCTCTGCAGCGGAGGGGTGGGGTGGGACGACCTGCTCCAGCAGCTGGTGGTGCATCTGCAGGAGGTCCTGCCCTTCCATTACTGCAGCCCAGGTAGAGGAGAAGAAAGTGGAAGCAAAGAAAGGAAAATCTGGAGTCTGATGATAACATGGGCTTTTTTATTTTTTTTAATTTTTACTTTTTTGAGTAAGCCTATTTTATAGCATGTTCAATAAAAAGCTGAACTCTTAAAAATGCTTATTAAAGAGATTGTCACAAACCTCATAGCTATAATACTGATAAGAGTGATGGATAAAGGGTATGGGACTCCCAGTCAAATGTTCTTTATTCTCTGATTCTCAGACTTCCACGGGCTTTTACTAAAGGAGCTTTATGAATTATGAAATCCCAAATGTCCCTCTTCACTCCTTTCAGAGAAATTGCAAAATAACATCTTGACTTTCCTTCCACCTCCTTTCTTTTCTTTCTCCACTCCCAAGCTCGTTTTCCTTCTCCACGGGCTTTTAGCCACAGCTTTGTGTACAGTTGGCAGAATGGCTTTGGGAAAGTCCCATGATCCCTTTGGGCCTCCAGTTTTCTTATCTGAAAAAGGAGTAGGTTGAATGGATGATTCCTAATGGCCCTGAACAATTTTTTTGTTGTTGTTTCAAACCTAAGGTCTTGATTTTATGTCTTTCTTTTCTTCTCTGCTCTGTGGACCTATCAGAGTCATGACAAATTGCTGGTGCTCTTAAAATCTACTCTGGCAAACACTGCTGTGAAATTAAGTCAAAAAGTTCATCAATATAAACAGAGAGTAAACTTAAATACTGAAGATCCCAAAGAAGACAAAATATTGTGGTTGTTGATGGGAGCATTTATTATCTCTGAAGCAACACTCCCTGCTAAGTTCCATGTATCTCAAATTCACACACACACACAATGGGTGTTTATTTGGGGGAAAAAAAACATGTAAAGTGAGAAAGTTTTATTCTTTAGCTCTAAAGCTCTTCACATTGTCCTTTAATTATAATAAAGTTTACAGTCTTTGAATGTCTGATTTGAAACAGGCAAGGCAGTGTGCTGAACACTTTCCATATGATTTAATCATCATTAGTACCATGAAGAGTTATGTTACTCTTCCCTGTTTTACAAACGAAGAAACTGTGGCTTAATGAGTTTGAATAGCTCAACTGAGGTCACTCACATAGTTACTGGTAGGTTTGAAATTGGGCAGTGTGATTTCAGGGCCCATGCTCCTTTATGGAATCTCCAAATATATTGGAATAATATCTCTCTTAGGAGGATGCCCGATGGGGAGTGATAAAGTGTGCAGCTAGAGAAAGCTGAATTGGAAAAATGCTTTCTCGAACCTCATCTGTGATGGAAAAAATGGCTAATGCCAACATGACTGATGGTTTTGTGCAAATGCAGTCAGTTCCAGAAAAAAATTTGTCTTACATTATGATACCTATATATTGTCCAATATTTCCTCCTAATAGTGACAGTGATGTGATTAAGGAAACCCACTTCACAAAGGCCTGCCTGGGCCTGTGCTTAATGACTACAAGAATGTCTGAGCTGAGCACACCAAAAACTCACCTTGTCTGAGAATGTCACTACTCTGTAAATCAGCGAGGGAGGGGAGGATCTTTCCCTTATTTGAATAATTTCAATTTTTAAGAAGGACAAAAAATGCACTGTAAATGTGAATGCTAATAAATATGATTTGAGAGTCTTGGAACTTCCCATAATTCCCTCAAGGACGCTCATTCTGCTTACAGAGCCCAGTTTTGCACTCATAAATCTCAACATTTCCTTTTAGTCACTTCCTTTACATCCCTTCTTTCCTTGCATGGCCCTGCTCTTAATTCCAGGTCTGGCTGACCCAGAGCCAAGCTCTTGGGCCCTCTCTCTAGTCTCTTGCTGCATTCCTGTCTTCACAGGTGAATCCTGGACTCCCCCTCTCTGTACCCCACTCAAAACACTCATTTCTTCAATGTGGCTCAGGTATAGGTATAGGGTGAGAAAGAGAGTTGGTTAAAACTAATTTACACTAAGATCTGAATGTCATATAATCTCTAGCCCTAACCCCAGGAATATTTTCTTTTTAATCCAAGCAAATCTCTAGATTTTGGCTTATGCTTCCAGGCCAGAGACCTTCCTGTAAATGACAACGTTTGGTTTATCCCATCAAGTGTGTGACAGCAGCCAGATGTGTGTAAGTTTAGCACGGATTTGCATGCTCACAAACTGACAATTCCACCAGGGCCAGGTTGCAGGATCCATTCTCATGCTTGGAGTATTCTTCCCTTGCGATGGGGAGCCGGTGCAGGGAGCCACGTGATTTTCTTTGTGCAGCTGCTGACTGGCTGGGGTTAGAGGAGAGACTCATAGCTATGCTTCCTTCAGGAACTTTCCAAAGAGTGAGAAGAGACAGCAAAAGGGGTAGGCACGGTGGCTCACACCTGTAATTCCTGCACTTTGGGAGGCTGAGGTGGGCAGATCACTTGAGACCAGGAATTTGAGACCAGCCTGGGCAACATGGTGAAACCCCATCTCTACTAAAAATACAAAAATTAGCTGGGTGTGGTGGCATGCACCTGTAGTTTCAGTTACTCAGGAGGCTGAGGCAGGAGGATTGCTTGAGCCCAGGAGGTGGAGGTTATAGTGAGCCGGTGCGCACCACTGCAGTCCAGCCTGGGCAATGGAAGTGAATCCTTGTCTCAAAAAAAAAAAAAAAGAAAGAGAAAAAAGGACAGCAGAAGGGCGGCTCCTCTCCTTATTGACGTTATTCCCATCTACATATCTCTTCCTTCATTTTTCCTCTCCTAGGAAGGAGAGATGGGGCTGGAATCAGGCTTGGAAAGCAGCTGCCTGGTCCTATTCAGGGTTCCCTCCTCCTGCTCTCCCCTCCTCTGCCCAAACCTTCACCATCTGTGCCCGTTTCTCTGAACTCTGCATTAGTTCTATCCCCAGCCTCCATTCTTCCCAAATCTCTTTCTTCATGAGGACTGGCAGTGCTTTTTAGGGTGGGAAGACAGTTGGATAATGCTTGTCCCTGGCCTCCACCCATCAGGACCTAGAGTGTCAGGGCTGAACCAGCCTGGTTTAGAGGTGGGTGCCTCTGATCCAGTCACTGGGTGGGGAAGTCCATTCGAGCAACCGTCCGGCCAGCTTTGCTCACTCACAGAGCTCCAGAATCCAGTACAATGCTAGAGTCTTGAAGGCATTCTCCAAATTTTTGCTGCATGAATGGCCAACCTCCTGACTGACGGATGGACTGACTGACTGACTGAATGAATGGCTGTGTCTCTGTGTTCTTGCCATGGTTCTTCTTCTCAATGTGGCTTGGTTTTCTTCTCTGCTTGATGGCTGTAGCCTCATATTCTCTCCCAACCCTGCCTTCCTTCTGCTGTCTCATTCTCCTTTTTTGGCCCACCATTTATGTTCAGTCATTTGGTTTTTTTCTGTAATGTTATTTTGCTACCATTTTTTCCTTGCCCTATCATCTGGCATCAGACCCTCTAGTTTTTCTCATCATGCTTCGTAGGAAGAGCTGGACTTCCGAATCACCCACATGAGAATAGGAGCTCCTATTTTTTTTGGTCACCATAGCTATGGTTTTTCTCCTCAACAATCTCTGCTTCAAGAGGAGCCAACAGCTCCTGACTTAATCCCCTAAACACCTTGCCCTGCAGCTCAAGCCATCCTTTGCAT